AAAAAAAATCACAATTACCTTAAATATTATTTTTTTTTTTAAGTCAGAATTGTGGGATTTTGAGAAAAAAATAAGAATTCAGAGAAAAAAAAGCCAGAATTGCGAGATGTGAACTCAGCATTCAGAGAAAAAAAGTAAGAATTGTAAGATGTGAAAGTTTAGTTATTGAACTAGTTTTAATCAACACTGAACCAAATTGAGTTGAATAAGGGCACTATTCTTATTTTTGAGCTGCTTTACTGCTGAAATAGTAGTGTATATATAGCACTATATAAATAAAGACTGACTTGAATAGAAGTAAGAGTTGATAACAGTCGGTGACGGACATCAAGATGTTTGAATGTGTGATTTGCAGTGCCGGTGTGGGAAGAACAGGAACCTACATTGTGATCGACAGCATGTTGAAGCAGATAAAGGAGAAAAGTACAGTGAACATCATGGGATTCCTCAAACACATTCGTAGCCAGAGGAATTACCTGGTGCAGACTGAGGTTCGGCAACATATATTATTTCAAACCATACCTTCTTAGGTTATGTCACGTCACACGCAGCATGAAATATCCATCATACTTGTGTGTGCGAGCAGGAGCAGTACGTCTTCATCCATGATGCTCTAGTGGAGGCCATCAGGAGTAAAGAGACCCTGGTCTCCGCCAGTCACATTCACACGTATGTGTCTGATCTCCTCACACCGGGACCTACAGGAAAGACCCGCCTGGAGAAACAGTTTAAGGTAAGACCCTTGGGTTTGTGATTTCACCTTAATCACTATTATGCTGAGCAATTCATTGATCTTTCCTTTTGTTCCTGTAGCTGGTCAGTCAGAGCTGTGCGAAACAGAGCGATTACACAGTGGCTTTGAAGGAGTGCAACGCATCTAAAAACAGGACGTCTTGTCTTATGTCTGGTGAGTATGTGCAATAAAAAAATTAAAATAATTAATTAATTAACATACGTTATATATATATATATATATATATATATATATATATAGTACCATTATCTCTATTGTT